AGTTAGCTAGCTACGTTAGCTCGCCTCAACTAGCCTAACGTTACGATTGAGCTCCACTCAAGTGTAGCAATTTAGCTACACTAGCAAGCGTATTACTTGAGTCTATGCTTATACTTTACATTATCTAGGAACTAGGGGTGTAGCGGTTCACCAAACCCACGGTTGGGTACGTATTATTGCGGTTTTGTGGTCACCGTTTCGGTACAGCGGGAAAATTAAATGCCATTCACAATGTTCCTGCCAATGTCTGTTGTGACAGGATTGTTATGTTGGGCCTCTGAAGTTTCCATTCTGATGCTGCGTTTGTAACCATGATGGAGGTGGGAATATACGAGTTGTGAAGTCATAAATACGAGTTGGATGCATTCATGTGATTTGAACTCCAGAAATGCCCATTGGTTAATGGTTAACAAGCTGCGTCAACCATAAACTAAAAGTACAACTTTAATTATTGTAAACAAATTATAGAGTTAAAAAACCACATGAATAGATTGCTTTTTATAAATAATGTTTTGGTGCACTTAACTACAGACAATGCTGTTAGAGGCCGTTTCCTTCGTAGGTGACATCACAGAGGTCACCATGTGGGAGAAGTGGGTGCTCAGTATGATAGACGAGTTTCCCAATAGGAATTTGTTGGAGGTCCATTCAAGTGGATTTTTCCCCGTCGTATGTGGTAAATTCCCACTTCCATCTTCGAGAACGCACCATGACACTGCCTCCTTAAGTGCCAGATGCGCACTCGTGACTCATAAAACGGCGCGTGTCAGTTGCAAGGTACATCTCCCACTCTGGGGTAACGTGATGGGCTGTCACTGCTAAGTAAGCGTCAGGGCTTGACATCAGCTTTTTTAGCCATTTGTTCTTGGGACAAGTAGGACAGATTTTATTACTTGTCCAAAAGCTGAAGTCACTTGTTCCAACAACAAAAAAAGGTCCATAACACCATCGGCCAAAAGGGTGAAGTACATAGGAGGGGCTTTTCCATACATAGACGATATTGTCGCCCCCTAGCAGCCATCCAAAATAATGTAAAGGACTGCTACGCATTTGGCTGGCATGCTACGGGAGGGACGAGAGGAATCATGATATTGGCAAAATATATTTAGTGGAGCCAAATCTTTTCGAATATCCTATTCCACTGGTGGAGCTGTGGCATTAAAGTGTATTAGCCTATCTGGCTCTGTGTGTGACTAAGCATGCAGATGGAGCGAGCGAAACCGCCACAGAGCCTTCCTGGCTGTGTGTCTTGTGATGGGTTGAAAATCATAATGGGCTCCAGAGCGACTCTGCTGGCCTCAGAACTGGATCATTATAAACTGATTCACATTGTTTCCTCATCCTCCTCTCTTATTGGCCTAGGCTACTAAATGCGTTGTAGGTAGGTTGCACATTGTTAGAATAATATGGAAATAGGCCTAGGCCAACTACACAGCTCATTCATAAGCTTTCCTCAGCTGTAGCCTAAGTTTTTCTTTTGACTCATTAGATTTTTCAATCTTGGTATTGTTTGCTCAATTTCACTTCTTGTGGCTTAAAATATTTGTCATGCAAAATAAATCTGTGAATGAGAATAGCATAGATTCCGACTTTCATAATTATTCCCATTTAAAAGCTGCAACTTTAGGACCAACACTTTATTAGAATAGTTTGGAAAGCCTACCGAGTGGCGCAGCGGTCTAAGGCACTGCATCGCAGTGCTTGAGGCGTCACTACAGACCCGGGTTCGATCCCGGGCTGTGTCACAACCGGCTGTGACCAGGAGTCCCATAGGGCGGCGCACAATTGGCCCAGCGTCGTCTGGGTTAGGGGAGGGTTTGGCCGGGTGAGCTTTACTTGGCTCATCGCGCTCTAGCAACTCCTGGTGGGGGGCCGGACGCCTGCAGGCTGACTTCGTTCATCAGTTGAACGGTGTTTCCTCCGGCACATTGGTGCGGCTGGCTACCGGGTTAATCGGGCGGGTGTTAAGAAACGCGGGAGGAAAATAAGAGGAGGATCCCATCAGCTTTCTATAGGCTAGGCCTACTATATTTATTTATTTATTTATCAACTTTCCTAATATTTAGCACATTGCTTATCTTTACAACAGGAGTATAGCCTACCTGGCTGGCATGAAAATGAATCATGGGAAAAGCGTCCTCCATTCGCTATTTAAGTGCATAGATGTGTTTTTTCCCCTGCCCCTGTTTTGAGACAGGTGCATGATAAATGGTCAATTTTAAATCAAAACATATTTCACACATATTCTTTATTATATGTAAAGACAAGATTAAATCAAGAATAGTCTGATGGTTGACAATATTAGCCTATCACTTGTGAATTATATATTATCACTTGTGAATGATGCCCAGCATAAGGCAAAAAACAAGCCCTTTTTCGGGCATCTTTTTCTGATCATAGTCACACACCTCATGTAGCCTAGCCCGTAGGCCTATATGTTTTAGTAAGGTTTGTATCACAACTAGTGGCAAAATAACTTCTTAAAATTAAGCACATTCATCCGCTTTACAAGGGGTGTAGAGCCTAACTGGCATACATAAGCAGCGAGTGAGTTTCAAGTTTGGTGAAGATAATTTTCACCATAAAAATGCACCTTTATAATAAAAGCATTACATGCATAATCGGATTTGTTGTCACTTTTGATAATGGTGTTTTCCTGCTAATGGAACATTCACGTTTATAGCCTACTGACGTGTGCGCATTCCTGCGCTTATGTGAAGAAATAGCTTAATAGTTTATCACATTCTAAGCTAAACGTTCTGATCTGTTGCGTCAGCCTCATTGCGTGGTTGTATTAATTTGGGATCTTCGCATCCCACAACTGTCCCAGACTATGTTTGGAATATTTATTTCTCGCACCGAATAGAATAGGTCAACTTTTGTACAATGGGGGATAGTAGATTGACATAGGCTAGTCCTTTTGCTGTTCATTAGGCCTTCTGATCTTGTGGACAGTTCTTCCAATGTCTTCAATATGCACCTCGGAATTGGATAAGGACGCACGTTGTTGCCACCCCGAAGTGTCTGTCTTCACTTGTAGCCTGTGAGAAAGATCCGATCATGTGATGGAGAGCCATGTGAGTGAGAGGTGCTTCGGAGCATGCAGCACTCGGGGAGAAAGGAACAACGGCCACTGGCCGCAAAAGGCATGGATTTTTTTGGGGTGCATTACGACCACACAAAGGGGATGCCACTGGGAAATTAGAGTCATTATCAAGTGCTTATCAAATTGTGAATGAGAGACTGATGAAGTGTGTACAGCCTGTGCAAAAAAACAAAGCAGAACTCATGCCTTTCAAGTGACTTTTTTCAAATCATCATTAGAGTCGCATCATGCAGCCTTAGAATGTATTTAAAAAATCAAAACATATAGCCCAACGTTTGTAGAACAACTAAACGGAAGGCAGGCTTCATCGGCTCGTCACACCACTTTGCAATGAGCTGGAGGCATTATGCATTTTGAAAATACTTAATTGTTTGAAACCTGAACGTTTTACTACATATTGTGAGGCATGTCTTACCTTGCTTCTAAGTAGCCTAGCGAAATTCAGACCATATCCGTGGAGGCAATTATTTTATATCAACTTTCTTTCATTGTCCAGTAGCCAAAGGGACAATATTAGCCATATTAGCATCCCAGGATAGTTGTTGCATATTAGATCTCCTCTCTTTCTAAATGTCTAACAGATATTTTCATCTGTCACATGAAACTGCTCGCATGTGCGGTGCGCTTTTGACTAAGTGTTTTCCCGCTAATTGCATTGTGGAAGGAACATACGCACTTAGCCTATTGTGTATTGCTGTGCTTATAATGTGAAGAAATAATAGTTTATCAACATTTTAGGCTAAATGTTCTGATTTGTTGCATCAGACTCATTGCTGTTTTACGTAGCCTAGGCCTACTAGTTGTATGAATTAGGGATCTATTGTCCCAGTCTGTTTGGAATAGGCTATTTCTTTCTCGACAAGCTGTAGGTAAATAGGTACACTTTTCTACTATGGGGGATAGTAGATTGACATAGGCTAGTGATTTTGCTGTTAGTTACTCGTCTTGTTGGCTGTGGAAAGGTAAATGTGGACAGTTATTCTAACATCTTCAAAGTGCCCAACAGAAATGGGTAAGAAGGACTGCAAATCGTTGCATCCTCGACTTGCATCTTCTGTTAATATGAATTACCATAATCTAAATGTGATTTCTGTCATTCTAAGCACCGTGGGTGGATGCCCTAATCAGGTTTACTGGTCAATTTCTCAAATGTCCCGTTAAATTAAAATGCCACCCCCTATTCTCAACCACTGAGAATGGGCGCATATCCGCGGCTATAAACCAAAGACTAAAAACTATAAACATAGCTCACCTATCGCTCTTGCAATTTATTTGGCCGGGCTGCTTGAATGCAGAAGGGAGGCGATGTGGTGTTTCTTTGCGTTTCTGTCTTGCTCCAGTATACTGGGATGATGTCAGTGTAAATGTGTCAACAGCTGCATAGGCTATTCTCGTTGAGTGTGGCGACATACTGTTATAGTTTAATCCACAACTCTCTGTCCATCGCTGTTGTAATCTACTGGGAAGCAAACATTTTCCCAAACTGGAGATTTAAACGATGATGGAGGATCCTCCATTGTACAGAACTAGTTCCCGGCTGCGCCTCACAAAAGGACAGTTTGAAATGCGCCAATTAAGATTTTAATTGTGATTACAGCTCAGATTTACTCTAGGCCTATTTTTTTATTTTGTAAATGTATATATTTTTAACGTATTTATTTGTGTTCACAGTGCGGAACGAACAGAGTTCCCCGAACGGTTCAGAACGAATACGTGTACCGTTACACCCCTACTAGTAACTAACTAGCTACATAGCTGTCTAGTTAGCAAATTAGCAAGCTAAGTTTGTAGGAAATTAGCTAGCTTGGTAAACATTTGGTGTAAATAAAGCAATACCAAGTTTACCGCCTTGCAGCTGCTATCATGTTAGTCTGAAGGCATTTTCTCTCTCTCAGACTTTTTTGAATTGTTAAGGCTTCCCATTCACTCTTCCCCCCCGGGGTTATCCTGCCTCTGTGGTTCCAGCGTTTAGCAGGTTGTAGGTAAGGAGCTCTTTTCTTCGCACGCTTGTCTTGAGCGTCCCAATCACTGGTGACTGGTCTTTGATTTTGTGCTGAAGGCACAGTACGATAAATGCACTGTGATGATTCCCAATCTATACCTAAATTATCCTTAATATGATCATAGGAGAAGCGAGAGATGTAGCCTACCAAATGTGCAGTGCACGGCACAACAAGTGTTATTCATTTCTCCAATTAATAAGTGTCAATGTCTCCTGAGGATGCTCACATGCATATTCATGTATTTTCAATGCTGTGGTTCTTCAGGGAGGGACAGCTCTGATGATGGAGAATGGACAGGGCACAGGCGCAAAGCTTGGCCTGCCGCCTCTCACCCCAGAGCAGCAGGAGGCACTACAAAGGGTGAGCCTACTACATATACATGACTAAATAGAGGTGTATACATCATGTTTCAACATTAGTCAGTTTGCCTGCGGTTCCTTTATTCTCTCACTCTGAATGACTTTTCTTCAGGCAAAGAAGTATGCCATGGAGCAGAGCATTAAAAGTGTCTTAGTGAAGCAGACCATTGCTCATCAGCAGCAACAGCTTACCAACTTACAGGTGAGATGTGCAGAATGATATACTCTTACAACTGCAACTGAACTTGACATGCCATTGACCATATGTTCTTATCTCTTAACACCACCCACAGGCACTTAATTATAGGCTCATATCTAAGAGTAACTGGGGCCATTAGCAAGATTGTCACATAGTCATATCGAATTACTATCTGCCCTGGGAGCTTTGTAGGTATGAAACATTAATTTTATTGTTTAGTAGTACAAAACATAGCAGCACAGCATATAAAGTATATTTGTCTGCCTACGATGATAGGATGGGTGTCCTCTTGCTTCTGCCTATTTTATTTCAGCTGGAGAAGATCAACATGAAGACTTTGTTAAACATGTTGAATGCTTTGCACTTGTTTTCAAATAGGGGTTTTGATTGTGGGGGTGATATTGTGAAATGGTTTTGGGGCAGTCTGCAGAGGGAAAGTCAAAATCAGTCGGGAAAGCTTTTTATGGGGAGTGTGTAATGTGTGTGTCGAAAAGCTGATGTATAGCAAAGGAAGAACATTTAAAAAAGCAAAGCTTAAAGATATATCTAACCTACTTTTCAGTACCTTTTTCATCTTTACTGTCTTTCAGATGGCAGCAGTGACAATGGGCTTTGGAGATCCTCTCTCACCTTTACAATCGGTCAATAGATATTACACTTTTTTCTCTGTCCGCATTCATGATAAAAAGGACTGTTACCCTTTTTTGATCGGCCACTCTGGGCTCCATCCTAGCCATTGCAGCTGACCAAATAACTCATATTTCAAAAGAAGACATGGTTATTAATATTATAATTATGAGGGACAAGTTTTTATACAATGTGCTGTGTCTGCTTAATTCAGTCTGGTTAAAGCTGCAAAATGTAACTTTTTGGTGACCCGGCCAAATTCATATATAAATGTGAGTTATACATCTGTCATTCTCATTGAAAACAAGTCTAAGAAGCGGTAGATCTGTTCTATGTGCACTATTTCTATGCTTCCCATTCTTAAGTTTAGTTTTTGCATCTTTTACTTTCAGTTTTGTACACCAGCTTCAAACAGCTGAAAATATAATATTTTTGGTTATTGAAAATATATTTCACAGCAGTTTAGATGGTACAATGATTCTCTACACTATACATTGCTTGTTTTGTCACACAAACCGAAATTATGTGAACTATTAGAATTTTTGCAACCAGGAAATGGTGGAGCGAGTTCTGCATATTGCACCTTTAATGAAGCCTTGTGTCTGTATGCCCACTGCTCCATTTCAGAAGAAATGCCCTGAAGTACTTCAGCTAGTGGCAACAGCTGTTAGTCTATGTTTTTTAAACTGAAAGAGATTCATAATGAAAATTTGGGATTTGTATGAATTCATATACACTACATGGTGAAAAGTGTGGACACCCCTTCAAATTAGTGGGTCTGGCTATTTCAGCCACACCCATTACAGGTGTATAAAATCGAGCACACAGCCATGCAATCTCCATAGACAAACATTGGCAGTAGAATGGGCCGTACTGAAGAGCTCAGTGACTTTCAACGTGGCACCGTCATAGGATGCCACCTTTCCAACAAGTCAGTTCTTCAAATTTCTGCCCTGTTAGAGTTGCCCCGGTCAACTGTAAGTGCTGTTATTGGGAAGTGGAAACGTCTAGGAGCAACAACGGCTCAGCCGCAAAGTGGTAGGCCACACCAGTTCACAGAACGGGACCGCCGAGTGCGGAAGCGTGTAAAAATGTCTGTCCTCGGAATACTCACTACCGAGTTCCAAACTGCATCTGGAAGCAACGTCCGCACAAGAACTGTTCGTCGAGCAGCTGTACCAAGCCTAAGGTCACCATGCGCAATGCCAAGCGTCGGCAGGAGTGGTGTAAAGCTCGCCACCATTGGACTCTGTAGCAGTGGAAACGCATTCTCTGGAGTAATGAATCACGTTTCACCATCTGGCAGTCCGATGGACGAATCTGGGTTTGGCAGATGCCAGGAGAACGCTACCTGCCCGAATGCATAGTGCCAACTGTAAAGTTTAGGGAAGGAGGAATAATGATTTGGGGCTGTTTTTCATGGTTCGGGCTAGGCCCCTTAGTTCCAGTGAAGGGAAATATTAACGCTACAGTATACAATTACATTCTAGACGATTCTGTGCTTCCAACTTTGTGGCAATATTTTGGGTAAGGCCCTTTCGTGTTTCAGCATGACAATGCCCCCGTGCACAAAGCGAGGGCCATACAGAAATGGTTTGTCGAGATCGGTGTGGAAGAACTTGACTGGCTTGCGCAGAACACTGACCTCAACCCGATCGAACACCTTTGGGATGAATTGGAACGCAGACTCCGAGCCAGCCCTAATTGGCCAACATCAGTGCCCGACCTCACCAATGCTCTTGTGGCTGAATGGAAGCAAGTCCCAACAGCAATGTTCCAACATCTAGTGGAAAGCCTTTCCAGAAGAGTGGAGGCTGTTATAGCAGCAAAGGGGGGACCAACTCCATATTATTGCCCATGATTTTCGAATGAGATGTTCGGTGAGCAGGTGTCCACATACTTTTGGCCATGTATTGTATTTGAGCACAATACAAACCTCCATTAGGGGATTTTTAGCAGGACATTTATTATGGCTTTTTGCACTATAGCCTGAAATCGCTATGTAAAGGTGGTTGAGAATATCAATGCAGGGAAGTTCATGTCTTCTTTATAAATATAATGTTACTTTGCATTGATTGAAGCTGAGAAAGCCAGCTTTGGTATGGGGCTAAAGAGGGTTAGCAGTCTTTTTCAATAACTAAAATGAGAGTTCTTCTCAAACAGGAATCCCTAATTGGCAATCTCAAATGTTATGTTGTAAAATAGGAAATCACTTTTCTCTTATGTAATAGATTAGGCTGTTACTAGTTTGCTTGCGGGTGATAAAGCAGCTATGCTTGAGTAAAAGGAACCAGTAAACTGCTTAGAGTGATTACCCGTCCCTCCTTCCCCTTAGAGACGTAAGTGTAAAATGCTTTCCTCAGGCTTTTTATCTTTGTATGGATGCTTTTCAACTGATACACAGTGCTGTGAAAAAGTACTTGCTCCCTTAATGTTCTCTACTTTTGCATATTTTTGATACTGAATGTTTTCAGATCTTCAACCAAAACCTAATATTAGATAAAGGGAACCTGAGTGAACAAATAACACAACAATTACATAGTTCATGAACAAAGTTAAGTATACTTTTTTGTTGTTGTTATTTGTAAACTCAGGTTCCCTTTATCTAATATTAGGTTTTGGTTGAAGATCTGATAACATTCATTATCAAAAATAGAGAAAATCAGAAAGGGGGCAAATACTTTTACATGTAGGAGTTGATTTTGTTTGTTCTCCATGTTGAAATGTCATCTTATATGCACCCCTGGACTACAGGTCAGTTTCAGGGGCTAAATATTAGCGAGGGGCATGCATGCCCATCACCTCTAGTGCTTTCACCCATATAAATGCAGTAATGATACAGATTTTTAAAAAGTTATGTAGCTGTGTAAGTTCCTGCATTTACAAAATTGTTGATATATTTTGTTATATACTGAACAAAAATATAAACGCAACATGTAAAGTGTTGGTCCCATGTTTCATGAGCTAAAAAAGCTTATTTCTTTCAAATGTTGTTTACATCCCTGTAGTGAGCATTTCTCCTTTGCTAAAATAATGTATCCACCTGACAGGTGTGGCATATTAAGAAGCTGATTAAAAAGCATGATCATTGCACAGGTGCACCTTGTGCTGGACACTCTAAAATGTTTAGTTTTGTCACACTACACAATGCCACAGATGTCTCAAGATTTGAGGGAGCGTGCAATTGGCATGCTGACTGCAGGAATGTCCACCAGAGCTGTTGCCGCCTCCAACGTTGTTTTAGAGAATTTGGCAGTATGTCCAACCGGCCTCACAACCACAGACCAAGTAACCATGCCAGCCCAGGACCTCCACATCCGGCTTCTTCACCTGTGAGATCGCCTGAGACCAGCCATCCGGACAGCTAATGAAACTAAGGAGTATTTCTGGAAAACCCATTCTGATTGGCTGGGCCTGGCTCCCCAGTGGGTGGGCCTATGCTCTCCCAGGCCTAATTTATTTAAATTGACTGATATCCTTATATGAACTGTAATCTTTGAAATTGTTGCATGTTGCGTTTATATTTTTGTTCAGTATAGATAGCAATAGTCACATCCATTTTTCAGGACTCTTTTATGTATATGCCCAGATTGCATCCATCCCTGACATTGGCCTGTACATCTGTTTTTGGGAAAAGCAAACACAATAGAGAATTACAAATATTCCCAGTGATTTACATAATGAGAAAATACAAATTTACCCATACACATCTAGATTGATTTAGTGTGTTCTTTCTTTCTTTGGCCCCCTAAGCATCATGGTGTGTTTTTCTCCGTGGTTACCAGGTGGCGGCTCAGCGGCAGCGGGCTCTAGCCATCATGTGCCGGGTATATGTGGGCTCCATATACTATGAGCTCGGGGAGGACACCATCAGACAGGCCTTTGCCCCCTTCGGCCCCATCAAGAGCATTGACATGTCATGGGACTCCGTTACAATGAAGCACAAGGTCAGTTTATAGAGCACGCTCAAACTACATCGTCACACAGCATTGCAATAGGATTAATCATATGAATGAAATGTTTGAATCACAACCGGAGAATTTGGCATGCTCGTTTCTGTAATGCACTGAACTGTTGTCCCATGGGTCTATGTCTGTCTGTGTGCAGGGCTTTGCCTTTGTGGAGTATGAGATCCCGGAGGCTGCACAGCTGGCTCTGGAGCAGATGAACTCGGTTATGCTCGGGGGCAGGAACATCAAGGTGAGTGGCCTGGAGAGGCAGCCTGTCCTGCCCAGTGGAAGTGGACCTCTCAGAACCCCCTCCCTATACCCCTGGAAAGAGGGGTGCTCCTGCTATCATCTTTTTAACCTTTTTATCTTTTAATTTCTATTGAGGATGCATGGAGACAGTTTGGACGTCCCCTTTTCTCATTTCGCTCCTTGTGTGTAACTGAGCTATTTCTGTGTGAGTCACTAATTGGTAGTATCTGTAATTCTGTATAGAAGTGTATCTAAAGCCACTCATTTCTTTGTCTTTCTTTGCTTGTATGTATGTCCATTCATTTAAAGGTGTGTGTGTTTGGGTGCGTGTGTGCGCGGGTGTGTTTTTGTGAATGTCTGTGCTGTCTTCTGCTTCCATGATGTCATCACCACATTGTTTTAGTGACCAGTTCCTCTAGGAGGCCCGGGCAGCGTGTGATGATGCGTTGCTCTGTGTCCGAGATGTGCTGATGATGGGCTGCGCCTGGTTGGTGTCGCTTGGCCGCCCCACCTGGAGCACAGATCATATACTACAAAGCCGCTCATAGAGAAGCTCCAAACACTAGCCTATAGATGACAGTTGTTAGAGGAGATACCTCTGAGACATTTCCGTCGTTGACAGTGTAGTGCCAGCCACAGGTCTTGTTAATTTATAGGTATTTCCACTAGTTGATCCTCAGCTGCAGCTCCGGCTTAAGGCAGTCTGAACAGGCCTTTCTTTTAGTGTTGGTCAAAAATGCCTGTGTGAGTGAACAAGTTTCAGTAGCAGCTTTTACAGTATAATTATCTTCATGAATTTCAGATATGCTATAATCTTCTTTTAGTTTCATGATTTCTTTTCAGATTGTTTTTTTATGTGATCTTCGCTATAGTCCATTTCAGGTGACGACTTTGAAGTGATTAAGTTGTTGGTATGTTTTCATAGTCTAGAAAGAAAAAAAAGTGAGTGTGCAAGAAAATAGTGTGTCAATAGAAGGCATTGTCTCTAGACTATAGTGCAGGTTGTCTTACATTTCATATCACTCGTATTACCTTAGCCTAAGCCCTGGTGGACAGATGCAGTTTAGCAAGGCTAGTGTAAACTTGGCTAAGAATACATTAGGCTGCAATTACAAAGAGAAAGCGGTTCCTTTCGATCTCTAATAGAGCATTTCCATACAGGATTTACCCCAAAGGCTCAGACTTTTCTGTGTCCATCTACGCGGGCCGGCACCCGTGTCTTACTGGGCCATGGCTCCGGCGGACCTGCTCTGACTTGGGGCCAAAGCCAGGCCACTGGTACTTTTCAGCTTGCATTTACATAACAATGGCTAACTGTGAACTTTAGCAACTGTTTTGAGCAGAGTTGTTGAGTCTGCTCTTCACATGCTTCACTGTCAGCCCTAGCTATGGAAACACCGATTCCCTAGTATACCATAAGTGAGTATACACTCGTGTAACGCTGGTGTTACAGTTCGAAAAGCAACATAATTGCATTGCCCCGAGTTGAAGGCGTTAAGTGGTTTTGGAGCTCGAGGTGTTGCGTTGCTTGGTCAGTGGCTGTGACACCCCACTCATTGGCCCTGTGCTGGTATCTGTGCTGTAGGTGGGGCGGCCAGGTAACATTGGTCAGGCGCAACCCATCATCGACCAGCTGGCAGAGGAGGCACGCGCCTACAACCGGATCTACGTTGCTTCCGTCCACCCCGACCTCTCAGACGAGGACATCAAGAGCGTCTTTGAGGCCTTCGGGAGGATCAAGTCCTGCACGTTAGCCAGGGACCCCACCACGGGAAGACACAAGAGCTTTGGCTTCGTCGGTGAGCAGAGGGGCCCCTGGCGGGTGGCGGCCCTCAGGATGTGCTGTTGCTGTGTGTTTGTCCTCCTCCTAACTCCTCCCCCCTCCCTCTCTCCCTGGCAGAGTATGACAAGCCCCAGTCGTCCCTGGACGCAGTGTCCTCCATGAACCTGTTTGACCTAGGGGGCCAGTACCTGCGGGTGGGCAAGGCTGTGACCCCTCCCATGCCCATGCTGACCCCCACCCAGCCTGGTGGCCTGCCGCCCGCTGCAGCCGTGGCTGCTGCAGCAGCCACCGCTAAGATAACGGCCCAGGCAAGTATGATTCCCTTCCAAAGGGATCTATTGGCCTTCCAGGTAAATATACCTCTGATATACAGTGAGGGAAGAAAGTATTTGATCCCCTGCTGATTTTCTACGTTTACCCACTGACAAAGACATGATCAGTCTATAATTTTAATGGTAGGTTTATTTGAACAGTGAGAGACAGAATAACAACAAAAAAAATCCAGAGAAAAATGTTATAAATTGATTTGCATTTTAATGAGGGAAATAAGTATTTGACCCCTCTGCAAAACATGACTTAGTACTTGGTGGCAAAACCCTTGTTGGCAATCAGGTCAGACGTTTCTTGTAGTTGGCCACCAGATTTGCACACATCTCAGGAGGGATTTTGTTCCACTCCTCTTTGCAGATCTTCTCCAAGTCATTAAGGTTTTGAGGCTGACGTTTGGCAACTCGAACCTTCAGCTCCCTCCACAGATTTTCTATGGGATTAAGGTCTGGAGACTGGATAGGCCACTCCAGGACCTTAATGTGCTTCTTCTTGAGCCACTCCTTTGTTGCCTTGGCCGTGTGTTTTGGGTCATTGTCATGCTGGAATACCCATCCACGACCCATTTTCAATGCCCTGGCTGAGGGAAGGAGGTTCTCACCCAAGATTTGACGGTACATGGCCCCGTCCATCGTCCCTTTGATGCGGAGAAGTTGTCCTGTCCCCTTAGCAGAAAAACACCCCCAAAGCATAATGTTTCCACCTCCATGTTTGACGGTGGGGATGGTATTCTTGGGGTCATAGGCAGCATTCCTCCTCCTCCAAACACGGCGAGTTGAGTTGATGCAAAAGAGCTCCATTTTGGTCTCATCTGACCACAACACTTTCACCCAGTTCTCCTCTGAATCATTCTGATGTTCATTGGCAAACTTCAGACGGCCCTGTATATGTGCTTTCTTGAGCAGGGGGACCTTGCGGGCGCTGCAGGATTTCAGTCCTTCACGGCGTAGTGTGTTACCAATTGTTTTCTTGGTGACTATGGTCCCAGCTGCCTTGAGATCATTGACAAGATCCTCCCGTGTAGTTCTGGGCTGATTCCTCACTGTTTTCATGTTCATTGCAACTCCACAAGGTGAGAACTTGCATGGAGCCCCAGGCAGAGGGAGATTGACAGTTCTTTTGTGTTTCTTCCATTTGCAAATAATCACACCAACTTTTGTCACCTTATCACCAAGCTGCTTGGCGATGGTCTTGTAGCCCATTCCAGCCTTGTGTAGGTCTATAATCTTGTCCCTGAAATCCTTGGAGAGCTCTTTGGTCTTGGCCATGGTGGAGAGTTTGGAATCTGATTGATTGATTGCTTCTGTGGACAGGTGTCTTTTATACAGGTAACAAACTGAGATTAGGAGCACTCCCTTTAAGAGTGTGCTCCTAATCTCAGCTCGTTACCTGTATAAAAGACACCTGGGAGCCAGAAATCTTTCTGATTGAGAGGGGGTCAAATGCTTATTTCCCTCATTAAAATGCAAATCAATTTATAATTTTTTTTACATGAGTTTTTCTGGATTTTTTTGTTATTCTCTCTCACTGTTCAAATAAACCTACCATTAAAATTATAGATTGATCATTTCTTTGTCAGTGGGCAAACGTACAAAATCAGCAGGGGATCAAATACTTTTTTCCCTCACTGTAGGTAGCTAGGTGTGACCATAATTCAAAATGTGCTCAGTAAAGTTTTAATATACTAAAGATAGAAATATAATTTGTATATAAAGCTTACTATTCTATTTTCTGTGTGCTTTAAGTAACATACACTGAGTGTACAAAATATTAAGAATGCTCTTTCCATGATATAGACTGAGCAGGTGAAAGCTATGTTCTCTTATTGATGATGAGACCGGTTAAAGAAGGATTTTTAAGCCTTGAGACAATTGAGACATGGATTGTGTATGTGTGCCATTCAGTTGGTGAATGGACAAAATATTGAAGTGCCTTTGAACGGGGTATGGTAGTAGGTGCCAAGTGCAGCGGTTTGTGTCAAGAACTGCAACGCTGCTGGGTTTTTCTTGCTCAACAGTTTCCCATGTGTATCAAGAATGGTCCACCACCTAAAGGACATCCAGCCAACTTGACACAACTGTGGGAAACATTGGAGTCAACATGGGCCAGCATCCATGTGGAACGCTTTCGACAACTTGTAGAGTCCATGCCCCGACGAATTGAGGCTTTTCTGAGGCGAAATGGGGGTGGTGCATCTCAGTATAGGAAGGTGTTCTTAATGTTTTGTACACAGTGTATATTTTGATGTGCCCTGCAGTTCTAGAATTTGATATAGTATTTGATGAATTGATAATGCATAACCCTTGCAGGGCAATATAAAGTATTCTACTGCTGTGTGTTTGCTAACAAAATGTGCTGTGCCATATCTGCTTGTGTTGTGATGTGAGCTCAACCTACAGTTGCAAAAGTATTAGGGATGTAACGATTCATCGATTCGCATTTGTCCCTGAATCTGATGTTTAAGATACCAGTGCATCCGTCTGCCGACCCCAAACCTATCCAAATGTAGCATGCATCAGTCAGAAAATCGATTCAAACGATACGAATTGCCAGTTCGTTTTTTTTCTCCCTTCATATAAATTTCTTTCTACCTTCCGAAAATACCTAATATTTTGCGACAACTGATGCTTCCTTTCCTTCAGTGTCGAACTGCATGTAACTGTTGACAGACATTTATCTACAAGTCATTTTGCAGGCCGAACAACCCCAGGCAATATCAGTAGCCTAGTCAAACTGCGCACTGTGCCCAGCTTCGCGCACTGATCAACCTGAAGTAGGCAGCCTGTTCCTTGCACATCTGTGCGGCACCTTCAGCATTCAAATGCTAAAATGGCTTGCGTGATATTAGGCTTTATTAGTGGAGTGACATCCTATGTCATTTGCTAGGTTATTGTTATCTATGCACTGTTTAAAACGTTTTTTACCGTAGTAAAAGGAAGCTACCGGAGACAACTCTCATCTGGCTACACCAGCTGAACAGGGCTTACAATAGATTTTATTTTTGATTGTTCTGGTTCACCATCAGCAATAGTTTTGGTAGTTTTTCTTAAAAGAGCAGTGTAAATGGTCATTTTTAGATATAAAGTTGATAATTTTCATAACGTGGAACGCAATCAGTTTTGCGAGGCTCAATGCGTGGTCAAAGCGCGAGAAGATCACGCTGTAAAAACTTCCAAACGGTCAAAGCCATTTGATTTTGAGATGGGGTGAAATCCAAAGTTGTGCTATATATTCATTGGCTATGTCATAGCTAATTTGTAAACAATCAATATTGATACATTACTAGCTCAAATACTTAATCTGCAAAAATGACAAGTTACTTAGTGTGTGATGGTGATTTCAGAACCAACGTGGGGGGACAAAAACATATGATAGTGGTAGCTGCCTAGTCTCCCTTATGGCTCAGCTCTACATACAGTAGTACATATACTATAGACCAAGGGTATTCAACTCTTACCCTAGGAGGTCCGGAGCCTGCTGGTTTTCTGTTCTACCTGATAATTAATTGCACCCACCTGGTGTGCCTGGCATGGCCTAAAAAAAACGTTTTGGCCCACCAGCCACTGTGGCAGGTAGATGAAAAATCTACCAGCCACTCAGATTTTACATTAAATTACATTAAAAGACGAAAACAATTATGACCATGCTTTGTAATGTTTTTAAAACATGCTCAATTTCATTTCATTTTTTGTGACCCGAGTCAAACCGAAATATCAGATGAGACCAAATGTTTTTTCCATGCCACATTTTTTTACACAAAACATACCAAATTATTTTGTCCTTTAAAAACCCGCTGTATGTAAAATAGTGTGTGCTATAGCTTGGGAAATAAACGTGACTCGATGACAACATAATGATCTTTGTTTCCAACATTAGGGTTGTTTACCTAAAGAAGTTAAATCCACTTTGTGTTTTGTTTCCTTGCCACGATACTAACGAGTATTGCGGTACTGGTCCCGGCCCTAGCGTTTATGCAACAAATGTTAGTGCATCGAACCAAATCGCATCGATTCGATCTCTAATCAAACCGAATTGCACTGAATCATTTCAAACTAAAACGTATCATTCCTGTATCGGAGCCCATGTATCTAGATGCGTATCGAATCATATTGAAAGGGAAAGATCTCTAAAAAGTATATCCTGTGACTGGCCCTTGCTTTTGTCATTTGAAGTACTATGATAATATATTTTTTTAAAATCTGTTTAATCGGTGACGAGCCTTGAGGACAGGTGAGATGCAGAGTAGAACACTATACATGCTGTATGAAGTCTGACTGTGCCACCTCACTGTGTTTTCCTGCTAATGCGTCGCGCCCCTCTCTCAAGGAGGCTGTGACCGGGGCGTCCATCTTGGGGGCGATGGCCGGGGCAAACCAGATGAGCCAAATGGGTTCTATGGGACAAATGGGCATCCCTCAGGCAGTCATGGCTGCCCAGGCCCCCGGAATGATCACAGGTGTGTATTGAGATGTGTGAGTACGAAGGGTATTGTCCACTGACTTACACACTCACTTACAGTGGGGAGAACAAGTATTTGATACACTGCCAATTTTGCAGGTTTTCCTACTTACAAAGCATGTAGAGGTCTGTAATTTTTATCATAGGTACACTCCAACTGTGAGAGACGGAATCTAAAACATAAATCCAGAAAATCACATTGTATGATTTTTAAGTAATTAATTTGCAATTTATTGCATGACATAAGTATTTGATCACCTACCAACCAGTAAGAATTCCGGCTCTCACAGACCTGTTAGTTTTTCTTTAAGAAGCCCTCCTGTTCTCCACTCATTACCTGAATTAACTGCACCTGTTTGAACTCGTTACCTGTATAAAAGACACCTGTCCACACACTCAATCAAACAGACTCCAACCTCTCCACAATGGCCAAGACCAGAGAGCTGTGTAAGGACATCAGGGATACAATTCTAGACCTGCACAAGGCTGGGATGGGCTACAGGACAATAGGCAAGCAGCTTGGTGAGAAGGCAACAACTGTTGGCACAATTATTAGAAAATGGAAGATTTTCAAGATGACGGTCAATCACCCTCGGTCTGGGGCTCCATGCAAGATCTCACCTCGTGGGGGCATCAATGATCATGAGGAAGGTGAGGGATCAGCCCAGAACGACATGGCAGGACCTGGTCAATGACCTGAAGAGAGCTGGGACCACAGTCTCAAAGAAAACCATTAGTAACACACTACGTCGTCATGGATTAAAATCCTGCAGCGCATGCAAGGTCCCCCTGCTCAAGCCAGCGCATGTCCAGGCCCGTCTGAAGTTTGCCAATGACCATCTGGATGATCCAGAGGAGGAATGGGAGAAGGTCATGTGGTCTGATGAGACAAAAATATAGCTTTTTGGTCTAAACTCCACTCGCCGTGTTTGGAGGAAGAAGAAGGATGAGTACAACCCCAAGAACACCATCCCAACCGTGAAGCATGGAGGTGGAAACATCATTCTTTGGGGATGCTTTTCTGCAAATGGGACAGGACAACTGCACCGTATTGAGGGGAGGATGGATGGGGCCATGTATCGCGAGATCTTGGCCAACAACCTCCTTCCCTCAGTAAGAGCATTGAAGATGGGTCGTGGCTGGTTCTTCCAGCATGACAACGACCCGAAACACAAAGCCAGGGCAACTAAGGAGTGGCTCTGTAAGAAGCATCTCAAGGTCCTGGAGTGGCCTAGCCAGTCTCCAGACCTGAACCCAATAGAACATCTTTGGAGGGAGCTGAAAGTCCGTATTGCCCAGCGACAGCCCTATAACCTGAAGGATCTGGAGTAGGTCTATATGGAGGAGTGGGTCAAAATCCCTGCTGCATTGTGTGCAAACCTGGTCAAGACCTACAGGAAACGTATGATGTCTGTAATTGCAAACAAAGGTTTCTGTACCAAATATTAAGTTCTGCTTTTGTGATGTATCAAATACTTATGTCATGCAATAAAATGCAAATGAATTACTTAAAAATCATACAATGTGATTTTCTGGATTTTTGTTTTAGATTCCGTCTCTCACAGTTGAAGTGTACCTATGATAAAACATTACAGACCTCTACATGCTTTGTAAGTAGGAAAACCTGCAAAATCGGCAGTGTATCAAATACTTGTTCTCCCCACTGTAGGTCTGTTTGAATCTTTTAGAGAATAAGAGGATCGTTTGAATGATTTTAAAGTGTGTCTCTTATCTACTCAATACAACAGTGTTGAGGGATTATCTAGTTAACCAGGTTGTCGTTTTTTTCCATCTGAACCTGGTCATTAAATTGTGTTGTAAAATCTTGACTACGAGTAGGTTGACATGAGACCGATAAGAGAAACAAGGGAATTGCAACAGAGGATTTCACTCCTATGAAGGGCAAAGCATGTCTCATAGAAACTATATCAATGAAGTCTACCATGACTCGTCGGTTTTTTCGACCAATTGACTGGTCTACATTTTCAAACGTCTATTTTTCAATATAGACACACCCTATGTGTTTTAATAAAATCAACTATATGTAGGCTATTGAGCTTGTCTGGTGTTTTAAGCACACTTTGATTAAATAATTAAGACACACAAATGACTCAAGAGGGAGATAGATATCAAGCTAGCCTAACCAGAAGAAAAAAACCTGTTCCCGAACCACCACCTCCCACTGCTGCTGCTGGCATTCGCAGATTCTGCCATTATGCTCCTAAAGTTGCTACACCATGGGTCGGTAACCTTTTCCATTTGGAGTGCCAACTTATCTTACCATTTCTACTGATCTGCGTGCCAGTTATGATTTTCATATGCACATTTTCATGGAACAGTTTAATTTATTTTATAATAAAGTCATATCTCAAAATCATTTGTGTGATTTAATAAAAATTATATCTAAATCTAAATGAAAATTATTCAAATCTAAAAGTAACTTCTATTGCGATTGCCAACTATGTAAAAATAGCCTACGAATAAAAACATTGCAGCCTGCAGGTAGAAAATATCCTGATAAAAATAAATCATATTGGCTACGCATGGCCTGTCTGCAAGAAACTTGAAACATTGTATCAACTATCAACTTGGTCCAGCCTGAAGCTTGCACTAACAAACTTGCAACATTGTAGAAAATATACTGGACCCTCAGTTTCCAGTGCTAGTGAGATCCAGACAGACACAGCTGTAGGCTATTTGCGCAAGGTATAAGAAGTAATCAGGTAGGCCTATTTTAGGACTTTTCCACCTTTTCAAGCTGTGTGGTTATCAAAAGGGAGAGAGCTGGAATGATTTTTCAAATAGGCTACATTGAGGAACTATTGTCATTCTCAATGGATGTAAAAACAGACTTAGTTTACTTGCTGTTTGAGGTGAAGAAAAATTACAGTCAGAAATACTATCAGTAAATGTGCACATTTATAAGCCTACATTTGCGCGCAGGCCAGGTAGCCTAGGCCTACTTCTATGCGTAATCAGGTGCGCGTCCTTACTCAACATTGACTGGAGCGCTCCAAACAAAACACAATGAATAAATTGACAACTCGTAAATGGAATGAAATAAACCAAAACTTGTTACTCACAAGTGTAGCCTAGATTGTGCACTCTGCAAACGTGTCCACTCTGACAATGAGAACGGCAAAAGACTGTAATATTAATGTATTGAATGCATCAACAGAAATTACGGTAAACAAACATTGTAGATTAGAAATGATGGGAATTAACAGTAAATATGCTACTGGTGATACTGGTCTGCCATCCCCACGGCCTCCGCAATGGTTTAGTCCACTGAGACAGGCGTCAATCAAGACATGCCATAATTATTAAAACATTTTTGCAACAGCTCGGCTAAAATATTATCGTCGACCAACAGCTTATCGACCAAACAATCGACCAGTCGACTAAATGGGGTAAGCCCTAACACTGAGTATACAAAACATTAAGAACACCTGCTGTTTCCATGACAGACTGACCAGGTGAAAGCTATGATCCCTTATTGATGTCACTTGTTAAATCCACTTCAATCAGTGTAGATGAAGGGGAGGAGACAGGTTAAAGAAGGATTTTTAAGCCTTGAGACATTTGAGCCATGGATTGTGTATGTGTGCCATTCAGTGGGTGAATGGGCAAGACAAAATATGTAAGTGCCTTTAAACAGGGTATGATAGTAGGTGCCAGGCGCACCGGTTTGTGTCAAGAACTGCAATGCTGCTGGGTTTTTCACTCAACAGTTTCCTGTGTGTGTCAAGAATGGTCCACCACCCAAAGGATATCCAGCCAACTTGACACAATTGTGGGAAGCATTGGAGTCAACATGGGCCAGCATCCCTGTGTGGAACTCTTTCGACCCATTGTAAAGTCCATGCCCCGACGAATTGAGGCTGTTCTGAGGGCAAAATGGGGGAGGAGGGTGCAACTCAATATTAGGAAGGTGTTCCTAATATTTGGTGTACTCTGTGCATATTTGTATGGCTGACGCATGTAAATGTCCCTCTCATGTCCCTGTAGGTGTGACGCCAGTGCGTCCTACCCTGCCAGTGCTGCCCCAGGTGGGCCTGGTCAACCCTGTGCTGGCCTCGCCGCCCGTGATCACCAACCCAGCCCAACCCAACCCCTCCCTGCAAGAGCTGCAGAAGAAGAAGCAAGAGGAGAAGGAGAAGCTGCAGGACGGGACAGGCCAGGAGATGTTGAGCGACCAAGAAAACATGAGCATCTCAGGCAGCAGCGCCAGACACATGGTCATGCAGAAACTGCTGAGGAAATCAGAGGTAAGACCAGACATGAAGACATTCGCCGCTTTGATCTCAAAATAGGCCATCCACGTGAATTGTGTAGATCCGAAGAATATGCTTCTCATATCGGAATAATTGACTGAGGACAGAATGCATCCCTACGCGCGTTCTACAAAGAGAATATCAAACCGAGTCATCAGAATGAGTGCTTCATCCAATATCACGCGTGACAGATGTGATCAGCCCGGTGCATCCTACCAGCCATTACTCACCTGCTTGTCTCCGTCCACTCTTTTTGCGCATCTCCATCAGTTTTAAAATAGAATTTAGCCGTGATGACGAGCTGGGGTGTGCGGACACTGATGAGTCTTCTGTTTGTTTAATTGATCGGGTAGGCTGTTTTTGAAAAGGGTTATGTCCCCCCCACTTCTAAAACCAAAGTTGCACCCCTGGTCTAAGGTGTAAAGTAGGCTAAAGATGGTTTCATATAGTTTTATAGGCCTTTGGATATGAGCAAATCAGCCATTTTCTGCAGTAGCCTATTCTATTATACAGTATGAAGTTAAATTCAATGTGTTGTATTGAGTATAGGTGTGAATATCAGGGGCAGGTTTTTGTGTAACACAGGTGCAGAACGTATAGAAAACGATGGGACAGGATGCAAATAAATGTTTTCTTGCACTTCACACCGATTATAAACGTGTTTCCATGCTCACCAGTTTGCTTCTGTGATATTTGCCTTGTTTCATGGCATACATTTCACAAAATGTGCAGTACTTTCACTGAAAAGTAGATATTTTTTGACATGTTGTCACGCTCCTCCCCAGTCTACGGTGATGGTGTTACGGAACATGGTGGGGCCGGAGGACATCGATGACGACCTGGAGGGTGAGGTAACCGAGGAGTGTGGCAAGTTTGGTGCCGTCAACCGGGTCATCATCTACCAGGAGAAGCAGGGCGAGGAGGAAGATGCCGAGATCATCGTCAAGATCTTTGTGGAGTTCTCCATGGCCTCGGAGATGAACAAGGCCATCCAGGCACTCAACGACCGCTGGTTCGGGGGTCGCAAGGTCATCGCGGAGGTCTATGACCAAGAGCGCTTCAACAGCAGCGACCTCTCCGCATAAACTGTCTGAAATGGTCGCCCAACACCCCATCCCATACCCGTTGCTCAAATTCACTTCAGCCACTATCACTGCTGCTAGAGATTTGAGACTCTTTTTAACTTGTATTTTTTTTAAATTGATGTTAATATTAATATTATTAATGGTCTCTTTTGAGGGCTTGGTTAAGAAAAGAATATTTGCGCCTTGTGGATTTAGTTTTTTCACCTACTATGAAGACTTGATTTCTTTTTGTATTATTTGCAGGTTTTTTTGTAATCAAATTGAGAAAAGTCATGATTGGGTTTTACCCCCTTTTTAAGTTTGCCAATGTTTGCTCTTCTAACATTGTCAGGACTCTTTAAACATTGTTTTAGAGCCATTGGTTCCAGTTTCCTCATACAAATAAAATCTTCAACTATGCAAATGTCTGTTATGAATTTCTTATGGGTTTGGGATGGAAAAATCCTTTCAAATACTAACATTCCAGATTTATTATATCAGTTGAAACTTCAATTATTAATAAACACTAGGTATAATGAACAAAACTATAAACACAACATGCAGCAATTTCAAAGATTTTACTGAGTTACAGTTCATATAAGGAAATCAGTCAATTGAAATAAATTCATTAGGCTCTAATCTATGGATTTCACATGACTGGGAATATAGATATGCATTTGTTGGTCACAGATACCTTTAAAAAAAAAAAAGTTGCCGTGGATCAGAAAACCAGTCAGTATCTTGTGTGACCACCATTTGCCTCTTGTAGCGCGACACATCTCCTTCGCATAGAGTTGATTGTGGAATGTTGTCCCACTCTTCAATGGCTGTGCGAAGTTCCAGGATATTTGGCGGGAACTGGAACACGTTGTCATACACGTCGATCTAGAGCATCCCAAACATGTCAAATGGGTGACATGTCTGGTGAGTTTGCAGGCCATAGAAGAAATTGGACATTTTCAGCTTCCAGGAATTGTGTACAGATCCTTGCGACATGGGGCTGTGCATTATCATGCTGAAACATGAGGTGATGGCGGCGAATGAATGGCATGACAATGGACCTCAGGATCTTGTCACGGTATCTCTGTGCATTCAAATTGCCATCGATAAAATGCAATTGTGGTCGTTGTCCGTAACTTATGCCTGCCCACTGCCACCATGGGGCACTCCGCTCGCCCACACGACACCATACACGTGGTCTGCAGTTGTGAGGCCGGTTGGACGTACTGCCAAATTCTCTAAAACTATGTTGGAGGCGGCATTCAATTGACATTAAATTCTCTGGCAACCGCTCTGGTGGACATTCCTGCAGTCAGCATGCCAATTGAACACTCCCTCAACTTGACACATCTGTGGCATTGTGTTGTGTGACAAAACTGCACATTTTAGAGTAGCCTTTTATTGTCCCCAGCACAAGGTGCACCTATGTAATGATCATGCTGTTTAATCAGCTTCTTGATATGCCACACCTATCAAGTGGATGGATTATCTTGGCAAAGGAGAAACGCTCACTAACAGGGATGTAAACAAATTTGTGCACAAAATTTAAGATAAATAAGCTTTTTGTGCGTATGGAACATTTCTGGGATCTTTTATTTCAGCTCATGAAACATGGGACCAACACTTTACATGTTGCGTTTACATTTTTGTTCAGTATATTTCAAAACTGTCTGACAGCAATTTTTTATGAAGTCAGCATTACTGGTTGGGATAATTCTTTCATGTTTTTATAAAGTAATTTTACAATCATTAACCAGGTTTCCATCCAACCTTTTTAAAACTAGTAAAATATTACTGTCAGTAGATGTCAGAATGAAACAGACTGTTGAGGGATTTATTATGGACTTGAAACTGAAATGTCAGTCAGTGTAATTTCTGTCAAATTGCAGACTCGCTGATACGAGATAGAATTGTCATGAGTGAGAGACAAGGGGCTGAGAGAGAAGTTACTTGGTGAGAATAAATTTACACTAGAAAGAGCAATACAAATCAGTGGAGGCTGCTGAGGGGAGAACGGCTCATGATAATGGCCGGAACGGAGTAAATGGAATGGCATCAAACGCATGTGTTTGATGTATTTGACACCATCCCACTCCAGCCATTACCTCGAGCCCATCCTCCCCAACACAGTCGCATACGGTCAATGGACAGGGATGTTCTTAGCGACACAGTATGCAAAGTGGAGTATATTATCAAAGGAAGAACTACAGCTAAATGGCTAACTTCAAAGGACAGCGCCGTCAGCAGTGCACTTCAGAGAGCCAACGCTAGTGCGGCAACTGCGGAGGAAAGCACAGACCTCGCCAGTGCCCAGCAATATAGAAAAGAGTGTCACAACTGTGGCGTGAAGAACCACTTCACACTCAAATGCAGGCAGCAGAGACAAGAAAATACAGTACACTGTGTCAACGTGGACCAGGACAACAGTGGTGACAACGAGTACAGTGAGGGGGCTTTGGGTGACCTCTTTGTGGGAACAGTCGCGCTTGCAGGACCAGACGAGGACTGGACTGCTACCTACAAGACTAATGAAACTGACATTGTGTTCAAACTTGACACTGGAGCACAGGTCAATATCATTCCAGAGACTGAATTGTTACGGTTACAGGTAAAACCAGTGGTGAACACAAAACAAAGGGTAAGACTGAAAGCTTACAGTGGTGAAGCAATTGCCACTTTAGGGACATGCACATTGGTGCTGGAGGTAGATGATAAATCTCACAAGGTTCCGTTTGTCATAGAAAAAACACCCATCATTGGGTTAAAGTCATGTAACTTACTGTGTCTAGTGAAACGGGTTCATACAGTGAATGGTGAAATGACTAATGTTGAGGATGCATATGCTGATGTTTTTCAGGGAATAGGAAAACTCAAGGTGCAGCACAGAATTGAGTTAGAGCAGCCAAACAGACCAGTGATCCATGCACCTAGAACGGTACCATTATCACTAAGAGACAAGCTAAAAGCAGAGCTACTGAAGCTAGAGTCCTTAGATATCCTAGACAAAGTAGAAGAGCCTACTGAATGGGTCCACTCACTAGTAATAGTTGAGAAGAAAGACGACTCTCAGACTGTATGGATCCAAAAGAGTTAAACAAGTATGTAAAAAGTGAACAGTCAACTGCCTACCAGAAGGGAGATATTCAGAACATAGCAGGGGATAAATACTTTTCACAGCTAGACGCTTCCTCCGGGTTTTGGCAGATCAGTCTAGACATGGAGAGTACAAGGCTTTGTACTTTCAATACTCCTTTTGGTATGTACTCATTTAAAAGGCTCCCGTTTGGTCTCACTTCAACACCAGGCACAGTCTTTCATAGGACAGTCCAACAGATATTTGAGAGTGTGCCAGACACCACAGTGTCCATTGATGATGTGTTCATATGGGGTCAGACTCTTGAAGAGCAGAACAGGTTGGAAAGCAGCACTTGATCTAGCCAGAGCTAATGGGCTAAAGCTAAACGCAGACAAAATGTGAATTCAGAAAGACAGAAATAACCTTCTTGGGTGAAAAACTAACATGTGAAGGTGTTCAGATAGACCAGAGCAAAGTGACAGCCATCAAGAACATGCCACCGCCTACTGATCAAGAGAATGTACAGAGGTTATTAGGTATGGTTAACTATGTGGGCAAATTTGTACAAATTTGTACCTAATCTGGCAACTCACACGAGTCAGATGAGAAGGCTGCTGTGTAAAACTACAGAGTGGTGTTGGAACAGTAATCACCAGAAAGAGTTTGAGGAGCTCAAGGCATTGATCATGCATGCTCCAGTACTGAGGTTCTATGATGAAAAGCACAAAACCAAAATCTCAGCAGGTGCCTCTAAAGCAGGTTTAGGAGCAGTGTTTTTACAGCAGTTTGGCACTAGATGGCGCCCAGTCGCATGTGCCTCCAGGGCGCTGACAACTTCTGAGTGTAACTATGCTCAGATTGAGAAAGAGGCATTGGCACTGTCATATGCATTTGAGAAATTCCATGTGTTTATCTATGGTAAAACAGTGTGGGCCAAAACAGATAACAAACCTCTGGTTACTATTGAAAAGAAGGGTCTAACATACACACAGCCAAGGGTATGGAGATTAAAACTTCAGAAATATGACTTGCAACTCGAGTACAGGCCAGGGAAAGAATTGTTAGTGGCAGACACATTGTCCAGAGCTTTTGACAGCTCAGAACCAAACCAGATATACAAGCAGGACGAGACCTTACATGTAAACTTTATCAGAAAGAGTTGCCCAGTCTCAGATGAAATGTGGACAGTTATTTCACGTGCTACTGCAGAAGATGAGTGTTTGCAAAAGGTGATTCAAGCCATAACATGCGGATGGTCTGTACAAGCTATACCATACCCTTATGGTCAATACAGGGATGAGCTATCTGGACTTGAAGGAATTATGTTTAAGGGTTCAAGAATTGTGATACCAAGTGTGTTACAGAAAAACATGCTGCTCAAAATTCACGAGGACCATCTAGGGATGGAAAAGTCAAAACGAGGTGCTAAAGCAGTGTTATTCTGGCCCAAGATGAATGCTGATATAGAGCAGACAGTCCGAGCCTATGAAACAGGCCAGAAATACAGGTCAAAACAGAGCAAAGAGCCAATGTGGGTTGAAGAAAAAGAGGTGTTGAGACCATGGGGCAAAGTAGGAATAGATCTCTTTGCTCTTGAGGGCAAGAACAAGGTTCTACTGATGGACACGTTTTTTAAATTTTTTATATATTTTCCTTTATTACTTTCCAACCCCACCACCCCTCCCCTAATTGGAGTAAACTAGTGAACAACAACGCTTAGGCCTCTACTTCCAGCTTATACATACTATATACATTTTATGGACACAGTCAATTTTACAATAGTTCTATTTTGTTTGTTTTTACTCCTGAACCTCTCCGATCATTTTCATGATGTCCATTCGGTTTGCTTCTATATGCCATATCTTTCAAACTGTGCTCTTTCACAAAAGCTCTCAACCTATAACCTATATACTTATTATGGACATTATCTTGTTGTTATTAGTTGTTATTAGTCCCATCCTTCAACTCCATTCAACACCTCCCATCTCTCTCTTAACGCCATCCATATTGGATTTCTATTTGCCATATATTTTTCAACTGTACTGTGATGTGTCACAAAAGTTCTGAACCCTTCTATTCTCATTGTTTCTACAGATTGTAAATAAAAAAAAATGCTAAAAGGATTATTATATTATTGATCGATTGACTATGACTTTTCAGATCACCCAGTAGTGCTATCTGCAGGGTTAGATCCAGGTAAATGTTGGTAATCCTTTAGCCATTCCTGGACCTGTGACCAAAAACAAGCTAAAAAAGGACAGTACCAAAACAAATGATCTAATGATTCTGTCTCTTCGCAGCAAAATCTGCAAAGCTGAGAAGATTGTATCCCCCATATAAATAACATTCTATTGGTAGCAAGAATTTTGTATAATAATTGAAATGGAATTTAAATTATCAGAATTTGCATATCAGTTCATAAACCATTTGCCATGGAATCGG